CTCCTCTATCTTCGGATGCCTGTCTCTAGTTGAGTTAATTGGTTACAAGCAATAAATTTAAACAAGTAAGTTTAAGCAATAAATTCAGGCAAGCAGTATATTCAAACAAACAGTAAATTCCTCTTTCCCTAACACTACCACTACTACTACTGCTGCTGCTGGCATATACTCTGCCCCATGGTTCTAGGAAATTGGACTGCACACAGACCAGCCCAAGTAAAGGGAAGGATCTGGACACAGGAACCTTATGTAAAATAGTTGCAAGAGGTGAATATCCTGGAAATCTAAGTCTGGAATGCTGGTAAGCTGCACAAAACCCAGTACTGGAAGATCATCCTGGTTCTGAGTACCTCACTTGGGTGGTCTGCTGCTAATGTGGCCTGACTGCTGTCCAGGAGTCCACTTTTCTATCCTTCTCTTCCCCATTTCAATTTTCTTAATGTATGTGTGAACATGCCTCTGGAAAAAAACCTTGAGGTAATTTAATATTAATTATGACTGTGAGTGATACAAAGAAAGAAATGAAAATACAGGTTTCAGGAAAAACAACCCATTCTCTCAAGAAGCCTAAGTCCTGACCACTGACTAAACTTGTTAAAGTTCTATAATCAACTCAGACTAACTGGACCCTTTTAACTCTGTGACCTTGGACAAGGCCCTGCTCATTTTCTCATTACTAAAATAGAACATTTGCATCTGTCCTTCCCTAGGGTTAGCATAAGGAGCAGGAGCCTGGTCTCCACACTCAGTCAATGGGTGGCAGCAGACCATTTTCCTGTCATGCTTCAGATACCTCACAGGTCAGAAGAGACACTTGAACTAGAAGGTCTTTTTCTAACTGTGTCTATCAACTCCTAAACAGCTGTGCTTGCATCAACGTCTACAGATCTACTCTTCCGGTTTAGATATACAGTGCTCCTCCTCCTGACCCTGCTGAAATCTATTGTTTTAAAAGGCTGAAATCTATTGTTTTAAAAGCTTGGTCCCCAGCTCCTGTCTATTTAAGGAAGTTCTGGATATTTTAGAAGGTCAGGGCTAGCTAGAGGAAATAGGGGCCTTGCTGGAACAAATGGGTCACTTGGGGGCATGCCTTTAAGCCTGTGTCTTGTCCTTTTCTTTCTCTGCTTCCTGACTACCATGAGGCAAGTCTGATATTCAGTTTCACCATGGGTCTAGAATCAGCAGACTATGGACAGAAATGTCTGAAACTGTGAACAACAACAACCAAAAAAATCCTTCCTTGTTATGCCAGGTATTCTGATGTTAACTAATATACACCTTAGCCTGAGGTCCTGACAAACCCTTCCTCTAAAACCCTCCACCACTTACAGAGGAACATTAAGCACACCCTGCTGTTTGAGACTTGTTTTGTGAAAACTTGAATTCATGGCATGCTTTTATAAGACTCTGTGCTCCCTTTGCACTGGTTTATCTGTTTAGAGATGTTTTCTTTTTGCTTATTATTGATCATCAACTACTGCCTGTAGTCACTCTTTGATCTCTGTTTTGTTGGTTAACACCAGCTGTGTCAGTCTCCCTCTTAAACTGTAATGATACAAAAACGGACTGGAGGCTCTGGGAACTACAGGACCCAGGGCCAACCTCCCTCAGGCCTGTGAATTGTCATTCCTGAGGCTGTTTTGTAAGTTCTTCTGCCAAGTTTCTATGGGAGCAGAGGGATCATTTTCTCCCTTTTCAAAGAACAGGGTGAGTTGAGGCCTTGAGCTGGCAAGTCCTTTAAAGTCATTTTCAAAGGAAACCTGAGCTGAAAGGCCATGCGGCTGGCAGAGGGTGATGTGACTGTCTGAAGCTCTCTGGGGCTTTGGGTGGTTAGCTCTCCTTGCTTTCCCACACGTGCTCAGAGCCTGCTGCAAATTTGGCCACTGCCAAGGGATGACCAGTGGGCACAGGTCCCCTCCCCACTGCCACCCAGGAACAGGAAGGGGGTGCAGACTTTCTCTTTTGGGCTCATTGCCAGAGACACACTTGTCCTCCCAGTTCTCAGACCCTGTCAATCAAACTTGATCCTTGGGGTTTTCTGAGGTAAAATAAAGGTAGGTGCCAAAGCAGGCTGGAGTGAACTTACATCTGAATCATGGGCTCATAAAGGGTCTAGTTAATCCCATCCCCTCCTGGATCAGTTAGGACAGGGACCGAAGGGGATGATGATCCCAAAGCACACAGGAAGAGGGAGCTAAGCTCCGGCACAGGGTAGAGGTTCACTCGGCCTCTGGCCAATCATAAAGCTTCTGAGTCTATAAATGCCTGTCAGTCACCCAGGAGACACCAAGGACACCAAATGCACTGAGGCTGAGAAATGTGTAGCTGGGGCCAGATGCTTTTGACCTGCCCTGTGTAGCCAAATGGAGAAAATCTATTTATGAAGCCAGGGGGGCATGATGAACTGTCACACTTTATAGAATAGCGTGGTCAGCTGAGACCCAGAGGTAGAAGAGGCTAGGAGGTATTTGCGTGAGAAGAGTAAGGACTTAAATTTATTGAAAGTTCAACCCAGAACTGGCAAGGTCCATCCAGATCTGGGTAAGGTCCTTCCAAATCCTTCACTTGACCTTCAGGCCCTGTGTCTAGGGTCTGTAGGTGTTCCTGGTGGTAGGGCCTGATATGAGTCTGTAGCAAGCTACCTGGACAAAATCCAGTCTCCTGTCAAGCAAGGTTTCTTTCCAACCCTTGCCAGCAGCCCCTGCCCTCTGAAAACATTTCCCACTAGAACAAGAGAACAGGGAGTAAGCCTACCCACCCCACCTGGGTCCCCACACAAGGACAGACCTTCTGAACCAGTTGACTTGACTTTTCAACATTTTATTCTTATGTTTGTACAGCTATATTTTACAATGCAGTAATGCAGTTTAGACACAGCCAAACCCTGTCTCCGGAGTAGTAATAACATAAGCATGACGCAGAATGGGATGAGACAAACATTCCCAAAGAGAGTTTAGTTAGTGACTACTTCAAGTCCCTGTGTCTGCCTACACTTCAGAAAGGGATGGCACACGCTTGTCCATCATTGAAAACTTCCGTGAAAAAAGGCACCGTGAGGACACGTTACGGGTATATACAAACTGAAAACTAAAACAAAAATTACACATTTCTCCTTCTGCAGCTTTTTTTGTTCTTTTTGTTTTTTTTTTTAATACACACTTTGTAAATTGTAAACCTTCACTTGCAAAAAAATACAAATACACTGAGGCATCTTAGACAAAATATTTTCTTACTTATACAGATGCAATACTTAAAATATTCTCTTAAGTGCTCTTTCTCAGTAAAGATTCTCAGATCCATGTCTGCCTGCAGATACAAGATCGAGACTTTCACACAGTTTTATATTTTCAATATATCTTTTTTAGCTTTATATAT